CAGGGAGAGATGCTGCTGGAACCTGGTCAAACTATTCATGCAACACATTGTTACTTACAGTGGTGTTTGCTGATCCCAGCTGAGATAGGGACTCACTTTTGTTAAGCCATGTTGCAGGTACGTTATCGCCCCGAGTCCCCTGCACAGCAGCAGCAGTAAGCCCTGTTAGCTAACATCTGAGTGTAAATCAAAGACAACAAAGTAGCTGGTCTCGCCAGGCTGAGGTGTCCTGAGTTACGGATTTTTCTCCGGTGACTTGATCTACAGAATGGTTCAGTTGGATTTCTAATTCATTGCAGCTAATGCAAATTAAGATAATGTCTCTTTTTTACCTAGTGATGAGAGATAGAAAAAGGTAGTTCTTACTACAGAGCCCGTAAAATGTATGTAATGTGGCCAGCATAAAGGTGAGCCTGAAGAGGTTCTGAAACGCCATTTTTGTAAAGAGTGAGCTGAAATACCATCCCGTTGACATAACTGGGACTGCCAAGACATGGAGAACTTAGAGTTAAGTAATTCTCTTGTACCAAGGCCTGTGTCCATGCCAGCTGCCTGTTAGAGCTCATGGGGCTGTGCTGGGCTGATTTCTCTCTCCCTCCCCCATCCCAGGGGGATTATCTGTAACCCAGGTCAGTTCGTTGGTCCAGTTGGTCTTGTAATTCCACAAACACTTTTACCCGCAGGACCGAGAGGGGGGGAGGTGCAAAGTGTTTAAGCTGATAATGGTTTCAGGACATGGCTGTGGAATTGTAGTCTAAACACAGCTTGATCCTATTTTTTGTATTTAATTAGTAAAGTACCTGCATTAACTTAATAGTAATTTTTTAATTAAGTTTGGGTTTTGGTTTATTCCCCATGTAGTTGACTGATGTCTCTTTACTGCTCTACCCATCAGACTCCTCAAAGTGTTTTTGTCTCCATTTTATTTTTTCAAGTTAAGTTTTTCCATTATTTGAATATTGCTTTAAAGAATTAAAGTATAATTAAGTATAAATTAAGCCCCTGAAATTTGATCTTTTATATTGAGTTGTCTTAATGACAAAATCTGAAGTTTTGTTCTGTGATAATATAAAATATTTATGGAGAGAAATAGGTAAATACTTGCTTATAGTTTGAAGAGGGATACATCTTTTTGTTTTGATTTTTTTTTTCTCTGTCAGGTAAGACACAAGTACTTAAAACTTTCACAGAGTTTCACAGTTGGGGTACATCATGTAGGAACAAATTACCTCAGAAATACAGAAGTGAGGTGAGAGTCTCAGAAAGATATTGGTTCTAAACAACATGTCAGATTTCAGATCTGTGTTTAGCTTGGGGAGAGCACGAAACTGGTGGGCTCGGGAGCTGAATCTGAACTTTTGCACTCCAATTTACTGTGTAGCTACACCTCTTCCTGTGCAACTGCCACTACCTCCTCTTGCCCGCTAATGCTGCAGCATCCTGTCGGTGGTCCCCTTGCTCAGGAAACATACTCCTGTTCACCATGAGCGCTTGTCTGTTCCTTTTCATTTTGGCAACAGCAGCTCTCGCTCGTTTTCCAAGGGTTGCCAAACTGCTGCTGTGAAGGAAGGAGAGGCAGTAAGGCTGGTACTGTTGCTATCACAGAGGAGGAGGAGAAGGTTGACTTCTGAAGTGAGTTGACTCCTGAAACCTGTGTTAGAGGACAGGGGCAGCATATAAACCTCAGTGGCTGCAACAGCAGGACCATCTTTTCATGGGATTGTGCAAACAGGAGAAAAGTGTGGCTGCTCTGACAGCGTTTCTCAAACAGCTTTCCCTATATTGTTTGAAAAGAGCCATGTGGAAACTTTCACAGGCTTCAGTCTGGCTGACTAGTGGGGCCCCATGCTAGTGCAATTTAGATAACTTATTTTACAGCATGGAAATAAATGCTAATAAGATAACCAATATAGTTGTGACATTACAGGCCTGTGAAGTATTTTATGTAGCAGGGATCCTGGATAACTCATCAACAGAAATCTGTTATTTCCAGAGAGATTTTTGCATAGTTCTTTTTTGCCGTGAAGTTTAAAATACAATTCTTCTATACAGCTGCCGCTGGAGACATGCCAACTTACCAGATTCGAACTCCGGCTGCTACCTTACCTCAGGGACTGGTAATGGCAGCCTCACCAGGGACTTTGCATAGCCCTCAGCAACTGGCAGAAGAGGCAACACGCAAGAGAGAGCTGAGACTCCTGAAAAATAGGTAAGACTATAAAAAAATTAACAGTCCGTGTTGCAAAAAAAACCCAAACCTAAAACAATCTAATGAAGTTTTCTTCTTAAGGTTGTGAGAACTGCCTGTGATTGACGAAGGGAAGGCAAGAAATTTTGTCAGTCATCCCACGCCCTTATAGCATTGAGGAGTATTGGCTGTTAACTCTGGAGAGTTAGAGTTGACCTTGTCACCATGGATTTTTAGTTCTAAAATATTATGGTAATTCAGAAACCGGTACTAGTGTTGTCCCTTTCTGATAATTTTTGTGATGATCTGGAGGTATACTTATTGCTGAATTTTTTCTTTTCTCCCACCCCACAGTAAAATGACCAGTATGGGTTTGTTCGTCTTGAAACATCCCAGCACAGAATTGGTTAGGAAAATATCTGAGGATCTCATTAGCAGCTGTCCATTAATGATGATGTGAAGAGGACTTACTCTAGGATGGAATGATAATTACAGACTTTCCTAAATACTTAGCTACTGGGATATGTTATTGTGCAGTGCCCCTGTCATTTTGTGAGGCACATTATGTGAGGTGGTTGTATATTTTTTAATTAGTTTGCATGGACTTGACTGTATGTTGTAAATGCCAGTCTTTCTTTGTGTATTCTTCATGCTATTTTTGGGGGACTTTTTTTTTTTTTTTTTTTTTTTAAATGCATAGCCACTGCTATCAATGGCAGTTAAATTAATGGAACAAATAGTCTGCTGTGCAGATCTCTAATAGCCACTTGCTTTATGATCGAATTCATGGTATTGCTTTGCTCTCATGCCTGTCCTTTATTTTAAATTACTCCCTAGGATCACTGCATTGTTGTACCTCCTTTTGTTTCTCCTCTCTTCAGTTTTAAAACTAGCATCTATGCTATCTCTCATGTAACTTGCTGGAGAGTTACACTCTCACAATCTGACAATTTATCATATTCCAAGATGTTAAAGGAATGGACTCCCAGTACTTCTAAAATTTATTCTGGTATTGAATGCTTGTTCAGTTACGTGCTTCTGAAAATACTACGCAAAGTGTTTAGCTTCAATATAACAGAATCCTGAGCAGTGATATGAGATTGACTCCAGACTGCCATTTGCCAGCAACAAAAAAATCCTGAGGTGCATATGGCTGAAATGTGCCCAGGTGGACAGTTCTAAAGTGCTAAGAAATTGTATTTGTTTGGACTTAAATTTTACTGTAGATTGTTACATTAAGGTAAAAAAATTAAAGCAGTTTGTAAGCTTGGCACCTAGCTTTTTATCTGAAGAGAGTAGCGTTATGCTACTATGCTATGCTTTTATTTCCTAAAAGTAAATTATTAGGGTTTGGTTTTGAGATTTTTGAGTGCAGAAGATAATATTCCTAATAAACACACAAAATGGAATGTGACTGGAAGAAGAAATGCTGCTTTTAGTCTTAAAGTTTAGTGCAACTCCAGTCAATATGTTATTATTTACTCACTGTTTTTCCCAGTTCCTCTATGTATTAATTACATCTTTGTATTTGTTGATGCTGAATTTGTTTCAAGTTCTAGTTGTTTTGAATTGTATTTTAACCATGTTATTGCTTATGGCTGTTATGTGCTGTTCTGTTTGTGCAATGCAACAGCTGGTGGTGATTGTTGTTGTTGTTGTTGTGGAACCGCAGGGATTGCAGGTAATTTAATTTGTCCGGTCTTTGCCATCTTGTGGCTGTTCCTGTAGTCATTTGCCTTGTATTGGTTCCAGGGAAGCTGCCAGAGAATGTCGCAGAAAGAAGAAAGAATATGTCAAATGTCTTGAAAATCGTGTGGCTGTGCTTGAAAACCAAAACAAGACTCTCATTGAGGAACTCAAGGCCCTCAAAGATCTTTATTGTCATAAAGCAGAATAACTGTCTTTCATTTGGACCTCGTTTATTATGAACTTTAATCAAGGCATGAGAGGAAGCAATTCTACAGATTGCCATATGAACTTGAGAAACAGACACTTGAGGCCCTTGTGGAACCCAGTTTTGCTTAGTGTTTTCAGACTGATGTGGGAGATATTCCAAATTCTGTCATAGTCTCCATACTCTGCTGAGCTTTCTAATGGCATGCAAATGGCTTTTTCGTTTGCACTTTTTACTTCTGCTTTTTGCAGGGAAGCTGCTAAAGAATGTCGACGTCGGAAGAAAGAATACATAAAATGTCTGGAGAGTCGTGTTGCAGTGCTAGAAGTTCAGAACAAGAAACTTATAGAGGAGCTTGAAACCCTCAAAGACGTTTGCTCTTCCAAAACAGATTAGTAAAAATATTTATTATACTGTGAACTGACTAAAATATGTCCAGTTGCTTTATAAGGCAATACATAGCCAACATGAATTATGACTTTCTCTTTGTGTCATTTATATTATATTCCAACTCCTAACATTCCTCAAATGCTTTCCTGCTTTTTGTCAATTCATAGCTCTAGTTTCAGGTTTTTCATGCTCCTCCCCTCCATCTCCCAAGGAGCCAAATGTTAAAAAAAAGTAACAAAGTAAAAAAGCGCGTGGTTTCTAAGAGCTTTTTCTTTGCCATATATTTACATACTACTTTGTACATGTTACTGAGTGTCCTGCACATCCAAAACATTTTACACTTGTTTTAGATGAATCATAAAGATAATGCGTCCAGTAATACAAGAAAATCAAACAACCCAAGGTATCTCAGGAAAGAGTTTATAAAAGAATGTTATGATTACATATATGTACTAGCATACTAGTCTACTAGATGATTTTATGGCATATTTTTATATTAGTTGCTTTGTGGAAAAAAGTATTGTACCGCTGTCACCGAGTGCCATGGTTAAAGATAGTTTTGAATAGAACCATGTTGTCTAACCTGTGTAGTGTCTGATTTCCTTTAAACATCTGTTTATCATAGGTGCTTTAAAACCAGTCAGTATCTGGACAAGGACAAAGGAAAAAAGCATACCTAAACTCATGACACGATGCTAACTATATTGTAGATACCTGAAAAAAAGCTGTTACATGGCTGCCATTTACATAATTTTCTGTAGTCTATAGAATATTTGATTTATTAGAGATCTGTATATCAAAATTCAATTTTGCATCCTGAATACTTCATCTTCTAGATTCTGGACGGTTGTAGACAGTTGCGTATAACAAAGGCTGATGGTGTACTTCTTTTTGCACTTTTTGCAAAGTACTGAGAGGAAGTAAAGGTGACTTAAAGAAGGAAGCTTTCCAATAAACAGTAACTATCTGCTGATTCACAGGGTGCTGGAATAGCCTATAGGTGAGTGCTGGAGATTTTTAAAATGAACCCATGCTTAAACCAGATTACAGTTCTGGTAAATGCAAGTACATGCCAACTTTCCACTGTGCTTTGAAAGAAAATAGTGCTTATGCAAAACTGCTTCTGGGTGTTTCTTTAATTCAGGAATGATGTAATTGTTTGTTGGCCAGTACAGTCTATGAGCAGAGTACTCGGGAGCTTTGCTGGAACTAGCAGCGTCATTGCATTACTGATGTGGTAGGAAGAAACGCTTAGTTCCTACTTAATTGGCTTTACTCTGTGTGTGTGTGTGCGCGTGCGTGTGTGTGTGTGTGTGTGTGTGTGTGTGTAAGGGGGAGGGATGGAGTCACACCATTACTAAAGTCACTGGGACTTCTTCACTTAAGGTAAACTGAATTCACATTTAACCCAGTCTTCACCCTGACTCTGTTGGGGCCTGGTGTGTGTACCTTTTTTTCTTTTTTTTTAAAAAAAAAAAAAATCATCTCATTTTCTTTTAGCTTTCCCAAATTGCTTGACATACACAGGATAACTTTCTCAAATCTTTTGAAAATCCCATTAGGTACCTAAGTGAGACCGTTTGTAAGAAGAGTTATTATCTTTCACTTCACGCAGCCACATCAGTTGGTTTTAAATAGGAAACGGGCAGCCTTTTGGGCCCGTAGGATTTGCTGCAGGTCTGGAACCAAAGTAAAATAAACTTTCAAATATCTGTTTCACTGTGAAAATACAGTGTAAGTGCTAAAGTCAGCAGAAGTCAAAGGTTCTGTTAAAGCTGGACAGGATGAATACAGTCTGCAGGTCCATGCTGCAGCCTCGAGACTGCAACAAAAGTGTCCAGCAAATTGTTTGTTGTGGCTCTGTCACTAGAATTCCTTTTCTGTTGGGGTAGGTTTTGCTCCTGACTCTCAAGGGACTTTGAAACTTACGTGGAAACAAACTTGGGCACATGGTGGTTATCTCTCCAGTAAAATCTTCTCTTATCTTCCCAATAGAATCTGGTACTAACTGTACTTAGAAATTTGATAGAAGCAATCCTTGTCTGTTCCACATCTATGTAGTCTACAGTAATTTCTTTGCTAATACTTTTAAAAGATTTGATTAATGTTTCTTTTTTATTTAAATAATTACTTGTGTGGGTGGGGTGCTTTGTTAATAATGGGAGCTAAATCCAAATGCTCTTGGCATGTGTTTGGTCATTCTGAAAAACTCGATTTGATCTGTTTATCTGCACCAGGGAAAGGTATCCTTCTTCAGAAAAGCCAACTGCATAAAACCTGGCTTATTTAGGCTAAAACTAGGAAAAAAGAAAAGTTTATGATGTAGTCTTTCATTCTCAGTAATTCAGTTTGTTATAGCATTAATTTTGACAGAATTAGCAACGCACATTTCTGTGTTTTAAAGTGAGACTGAGTGAGTGTGTTGGTGAATAAGAACATTTAAGATGTATGGTCGGTAAATTAGAACCAAGATGCATCTTGTGGTGAAGAAAATAACTGATTTGAGAAGGAGCGAAGGTAGATCTGCACAAATGCCAAGGATCTGTTGTCAAATTGCTACTGCAAAAATTACTACTTAAAACAATAAATCCAGTTCTGAATTGGTTTGAGATGTACATTGAAAACTTTGTGAGAGACCTCCCTGAGATTAAATAAAGATTTGAAGGAAAAGTCAGTGTACCACTGGGGTTTGTCAGAGTAGTACCAAAATACGAAGGTGAGATGGGACTGCTGCAGCCTGAATCTCTGTTCAAGCCGTGTATCACAGGATTAAAGCGATAGATAGCATATATGCTAGGATATACAAATTGGTTTATATTATAAAGGAAAATAAATCATACTAAGTTATCCTTCAGTTTATTATTTCTCTTTAAAGTGTCAATACAGCCTTCCCAAGTTTTAGATCAGCTGTGGGACTCGTATTCTACATCAGTGTCATGTTTCTGAATGTATGTCTGCACTGGAATCCAGAGTAGATGGACGTGTGCTATGAATGAGAATTTTTCTTTTGACTTGCTGTCCATCAAGCTTGCATTTGTGCATGTAAGTCCTGTGCTTGCCAGTGCTCCTCTCCAAGGGCAGAAAATGTGAAAATGGCTGGAACTATTCATTGTTACTTCTTCTAGAAGAAAACTGAGATTTGACTGAGGTCTGAATTCATACCTGCCAAAGTTCTTGGGAGGTGAGACTAGCACGTTCTAGGAACTGTGCTGCCCAACAGTCCGGGCGAAACTGTCTGTGCTTGTATAGTGGCACCCATGTTCTGGATACCGGGCCAAGTAAAGGTCAGTTTCTTATGATTGCCTTGAACTTCCTGAGGTTTTTATCGAAATCAGTTACTGATTGTTTTTCCAGAGGATACGTTCTGATGGGAGAGAGGAAACTGCTTTCTGCATTTTGTCTGTCTCTTCACTTTGTGACTGCTTTTGGTTCATCCAGAGGCCAAACAATCTGTTTGCAGAGAGCTACCAAGTGGGCCAGACACTGAGCTCACAGTGTTTCCTCCAGTGACAATGGCTGGAAAAGCAGTCCCTTTGAGCTTCTTCATATCTCGTTCTTTGTGTAAAAGACAGATCCACCCCTTTTCCTAAAAGTATTATTATCTAAAATTGTACAGTGCAAACATGCAAACTAACTCTTGATTTTTGTGAAAGGTCTGTGATGTGGCTGTCAATCACATACCTAAGGAAACACAGTATCAGTGGCTGTTGTGGTTCATGTCAGTACTGGGACTTGCCCTCTGTCCCCACTTTACTACTTCAGTTCTCAGTTGAACCAGGCTTTGGGTTCAGTACTGTTTCCAAAGAACTTCTTGACCACAAGATCATAAAACACCTTCTGTCTCATACCATGTGTGTGGTGTTAGTTTTAATATCTTTTCCCACGTTTTGATGCTGTTTCTACTTTCAGAGGTTTCTGAGAACGTACAAATAGCAGCTGAAGAGGTGTATCTTACTCAATGGCTGTGTCATCATCTCATTTGACAAGGCTGGGAAGCACCTACTTCTCAGATAAAAACATAGCTCTGAGCGTTGGATACCAATATAATTTCCACAGGAATCGGATTCCAATTCAGATTTGTGAAGCAAGGTGCTTTGTGTGTGCAGGAGAAAGGCCTTTTGAACACAGTATTGTCTTAGTACAGAAAAATTAAATGAATCTGAGTTTGTTTATTATAAGAGAACTTGAGCACTGGCCAAGCTTTAATGTATAAGAGCCAGGAATTTTGGTTTTTTCAGTACCAGAAAAAAAGGTTGAAATAATTGTGATTTTCTTTCTGTAAGAAAGCCACATCCATATGGTACAAAACTCTTCTCCCTTGCTGAAGCCACGCAACTGTTTGCAAATTCCTTTGAGACAGATAGCTAGAGGATCTGCTTTTACGGGAAGGTGTACATAAGGCTGCACGTCTCTTGAAAAATGTATTCAGCCTCCTAGAGTTGTGGGTGATGAGGAATGTAATAGTCAGCTTCCTCTGAAGGTTCAGCTTTGAGTCATAGCTGTTTTCTTCCCCATCTAAATGGAGTGGGGAGTAGAGTTATAAAAAGAAATGTCCAAGCTATCCAGGCAGAGCTGTCTCTTGACTGTCTAAAACAGCCTCAGCTGTTGTGACCTGGGAAAAAAGGAATTAAAATAAGTATATTGTGTGAGTAGGTGGGGGTTTGGTTTCTTTGGGGGTTTTGGGGATGGTTTTTTTGATCATTATTTCACTTGGATTTTTCTGTTTGCAAGAATAAATGTAGATCTTTCTGCCTGCAGTGATACAGTCCTAAGGACTGCAAGCTCTGTTGTCTCCCACTTGGTTCTCTAGGGTTTTTCTTCCATTCTTATAAAACATAATTGCTGATCTGTACTGCTATCCTGCAGACATCAGTGTAACAGCTATATCAGTGTGATCTTTTTCTGAATGAAGTATCACTTCAAAGAAAACAAAGAGGTCTGCTCAGCTTCTGGTTTGGATTGACGCCTTTTGCCCGCAGTTTTTTTTCTGGTTTATCTACTTGGTGGTTTGTGCATGGGTGTGTATATGACAAGAATGTATTGAACGCTGAGCTGTTAAGCAGCTGGTAGAAGTAGCTGCATTTTGATTGTCAGCATTCCTGTATAAAAACTGCCTTATGGGGATTGGGTTTAATTTGGTTGGGGTTTCTTTTTTTAAGGCACTGTGAGGCTCTTCTGGATGAGGGGTACCAATGATTTCATTATTCCAGCAAAAGTTGTGTAAGTTCTAGTATTTGCTTGATTTAAAAACTGAAGAAAATGAGTTAGTGGATTTCTGGGGCAATTTGGTAGTACCTCACGCAGACTGGTAATGGCAGGTAGCAAAAATCAGTTTATTCTTCTTCTGTCTCTGATAAATCTTTTATAGGCCATATTCTCAGGTTTCTGCCTTTTCCTGCTTCTGAGATAGAGCTTTCTTCTTGCAACCTGCTTGTTAGACACAGTTATGGAGCAGAAGCTGTTTATATGCACAAAGCCTCAAAGAGAGAGAGGGTAATGTGAGAGTTGAATGATCTGTGTAGACTAAGGAAAAGAAAAATAACTTAGTTGTATTATGTATTACTTGAATGGAAAAAAC